AAGGCTTTTGATAAGATAAATCATAAAATACTTATAGATGAATCTAGAGAACTTTTTGTATTCGCGAATAATTTATCACTTCTCATTGAGTCCTACTTGAGTAATCCCAGTCATCTCGTACAAGTTGAGATTTGCAAATCGAGAGAATTTATAGTTACTTCAAGAGTGCCGCAGGGATCCCATCTTGGACTCCTACTATTTGTCCTGTTTGTTAACGATCCCATAGAGATGGTGGACTGCATAAAATTTATAAGAATGTGTCATCTATGCATGTTTGTTTGAACCTACAAAGTGACCTGAATGTTATCATCCTGTGGTGTAATAATAATTGTTTGCACTTGAATGTCATGAAATGTAATGTGGTGAGTTTTACTAGAGAGAAAAATTTGATATCTTTTGATTACAACATTGAAGGTGTGTTAAACTGACTCGACTTCTGGAGGTTAACGATCTCGGCCTAGTATTTGATCAAAAATTCTCATTCTTACCTCATAACAACCAATTAATTTTATCATGTAGCAGCATTTATGGTTTCATCGTCCTCAATGCCAGATTGTTTCCGAGTTCCTCAACACTACTCCATTTATTTAATGAAGTAGTGAGAAGCAAACTTGTGTATGGCTGTTTTGTTTGGCGACCAATATATAATTGTCACATAAACCGCCTGGAGGCACTGTAGAGGAAGTTCTTGAAATGGCTATCATTTCGAGAGGATGGTTTATATCCACCTAGGAGTTGTGATCACGCTTGTTTGCTATCAAGGTTTGACACCTCCACACCAAGAGAAGTTTGAATGCATTGATATTTTCATTTAATTTGCTCAATGATAATCTCGACTGTCGTGAGCTTATGGGTAAACTCAATTTCTCCGTTCCTCCGAGGTGTACTAGAATAAGCAAGACGTTTTACTCAAAAACCCACAGAACCAATCGTCTCTCGCAATCGCCGCGCCGCTTAGCTTTGCATGTTCTACTGCAAACCAGGTATCAAGCTGCTGTGATTTGCACTTGGACTCACTTGTTTCTATCATAAATGTGTCTTTCAATCTTGGAGTTTCTTGATTTCTTTCAAATCGAGTCATTTTTTTCTTGATTATTATTATGATTGAGCATTTAGATATTGACATAAATTTAGATTATTACATTTGATAATGTTTTCTATTATTATAATTATTTCTTAATATTGTATATCCATGTTGTTATTGATATTTTTAGTAACCATATGTATTCATTTTGTATTTTCCTGTAATTGGGTAGGTACCTGTTGAAAATATATGCTTATAATAATAATTATTATTACAGAACTTTTTGTCAGGAACATGACAATTCCTCACTTTTGTCCATTTTATTCTATTTTCAGCAATGCATTTTCCTTAGGTTTGGTCAATCAAGTGATGATTACGTAATTAAATGTTGATACTTATTATTGATATTCATGGAAATGAAGAACTGATTCCCATTATTTCCTCAATTAGAGTGGGGCAACGGCCATAAGTGGTGCCCCTGCCTTATATAATTCTTTTTTAAATTTTTTCGAAGAAACTTCGTTTCCAACTAGAATTAACTCGGATGATTACAGTTGTTATCGCTTTCATTTTTTAAATTGACTATTCTTGCAAGGAAGTCTGAAGCAATTTTGTTTGTTTCTCGAGTAATTTTTCTATTCATTTCTAACCATAAGAATGTATCAATATTTCATCTATATCGTTTTTATAATAATCCATCGTGAAAAAATTTCAATTTAATTCCTGATTAAATGATTCTGCATTATTGATTTTATGGAGAAAACCCTAAGTAGACAAGTTTCGCACACAAAATTCTTGAGAAACAACAAAAGTTTAGTTCTGTCCAGGTTAATGACTAGGGAAATTGAAAATAAAGGAATCTGCAAACCTTTAGTATTTTCTCGATTTCTAATAGAATAAATCAAAGGGTACTCAATCGATCGAACCTCTTATGTTCCCTTGTTCGGTGGAACCTCACTCGAAAATGAGAACCTTGGAATATTCTCTGTAAATCTTTGAAAACCGATACAATTATTCTTGTTGCTAAATACGTTTTTTCTGAAGCAACCTTCTTTTTGAACTTAATGGAACCTCTGTTTCAAATATGGTTCGTATCGCTCCACTTCAAATTAATTGGACTGAAGCGTACCAATAACGTTCATTAACTTCACTCTTTTTATCTGTAGTATTTCCCTCAAAATTCATTCTTTATTGCTATCAACTATGATGTGTTCAGGAGTGACTTGAGAAAAAATGAATTCGAATACTAAAAATGAACACATTTTTTTGAATAAACTTTGTTCATTTATATTCAATTTTATGTGTCACTTTATGAATTTCTCCTATGTTTGGAAATGCAATAATAATCCAGTTTGTGACTTTCACGATATTCCTAACTATGAGGTTCACCAAATAATTTTCAAATAGTAGGTACCACTCCTTACAATTATTATGTATGAATTATGTCCTTTTGCTCTTTTACTTCAACGCCTTTAATTGATATTTACCATTTCTGAATGCTACACTCTAAAGAAATGATTGGATCTTTTTCCACAGGGTACATCTTTAATACTCCTTTTCAGCCTCAGAAGACCTGTCTCATAGTATTTCCTTATTACGTTCTAGACCAATCCGCCTTACATTTAATTCCTTCTTCGAAGAACCCAAATGAATTTCTCCCAATTAGAATAAAATCAGATACATTCATATAATTGAAATGGAATCATTGAAATATATTCTTTTACTAGAGAGCAGCAATACCAAAGAACTTAGATTGAATTCTGGCTTAACTATTGGTGAAACATAATTGAAAATTAAAATAAATTAAACTCTTGGCTCATGTTTCACGATTCATTTAACAATATGAAAATGTCTTTAGTCTTGAAAATGAGCTAACGCTCGAAACATGTTGACTATTCATATTGTTGAATAAATCGTGAAACATTAAGCCAAGAGTTTAATTTATTTTAATTTTTAATTATCAAAGAACTTCACACAATTCATTTTCGATGAAGATCATTGCATCTTTCAAAATAATTACCATTTGAAAATAATATTGCAACATTGAAAAATACTAAAGAATGCACTATATTACTGCACACCTCCAACTCAATGCCAGTGCAAAAATGTCTTACGGTTTTACTGGAAATTAATTGTATATCAAATGAAGCAAAACATGAAATTATTCATGTTTTTCATGGTATTTTTGAGTTATTGACAGTTGAAAAATTTTTCAATTGAAAATGATGTGTTTCTTTCTGTCTGAGAATAAAAGCGTTTATCTTGAACAATTCATTCGTCAATCTGCTATACATACGTACATATCAAATGAAAGAATTATTCAGAATAAGTTAATATATACTGTTTCATTTACTCTTTCGACTCGAAGATCCGTTGCATTTGCTTTGATATCGTAGATGTGATTGAATTTTCCATTTCGGAGAATTCATGTCTAACATGAAAATGAAGTCGTATTATTGCTGGGGAATTTATTGCATCTTTTTTGCTTAGCTGCAAAGAATGAAGGGAAATTAAACCTTCAATTCGCAGCTGATTCAATTGATACATACAATCTATCAACTAATTTCATTAATATTATTGAATAAATATCTAATATTAAATAAATTGATGAAATATCAAATAAATTTCTTTTCTTTTCAAATAAAAATGTATATTATTGTTAATATAAATTCAACCAAAATTTTGTTTGAACCAATATTTTTGTTCGAGGGCTGAATGGAAGATCAGACTCAAAACTGAATGCAGTCTTTTTGTGAGCATTCTTCGCATTTATAATTGTTGTATCAATTGGATGAATGTAATTTTACAAATGGAAGGAATGTTTCTCAATAAATTTTATTTTATTATTATTCATTTTATTGCTGGTCAACTGTGCATTTTCATTCAAACTATCATAATTATTTCCTCAATGTGCTTGAGAATGTACTTTAAGTAATACTAGGAAACTGCTATTTTTTTAATCGAAAGACAATCTTGTGGCATTACATTTTAAATATGACTTCTGACATATGACGGCCACGGTCATATGTCAGAAGCATGTAGTCCAATCTGGACGTCCAATTTTCGATGAATTTTTCCAACATTTGTGACCGTATATCGGCAATAACACGGCGAGTATTGTCTTCCAAATGATCAAGCGCTTGTGGCTTATCCGCATAGACGAATGACTCAGATAGCCCCACAGAAAGAAGTCTAGCGGTGTTAAATCACAAGATTTTGGAGGCTAATTCACAGGTCCAAAACGTGAAATTAAGGGGTCACCAAACGTGTCTTTCCAAAAATCGATTGTGTGGCATGTTGCGCCGTCTTGTTGAAACCACAGCTCCTGGACGTCATGGTTGTTCAATTCAGGAATGAAAAAGTAAGTAATCATGGCTCTGTACCGATCACCAACGACTGTAACGTTCTGGCCATCATTGTTTTTGAGGAAGTACGGACCAATGATTCCACCAGCCCATAAAGCGCACCAAATAGTCAATTTTTCTGGATGTAACGGTGTTTTGACATACACTTGAGGATTATCTCCACTCCAAATGCAGCAGTTTTGTTTGTTGACATAGCCATTCAACCAGAAGTGCGCTTCATCGCTGAACTAATTTCGCTTATAAAAATCGGGAACAACGGCAATCTCGTTTGGGCCCATTCGACGAATCAACGCCTTGCTTGATGATCGTGAGTCTATTCATGATGAATTGCCAAACCAAACTGAGAATAAATCACTTCTCAGCTGTTGAATCGGTCGCCATCTTCAACAGTAATGCCCACATAAAGTTCTATACCTTTAAAAAAACATTCTTTATAATAAATAAAGTGTAAAAAAATTCTACCTTTGCTGAATATGACGATTTTTTTTCAATTCAGTGGACCTACAATTTAACGCCGGTTCCGAACGGCCATTGGACTTGTAAACCATCTACATTACCTAGCATATTTCATTATTTCAACTACTTAAATCATAGACAAACACAAACACCCATGCCTTCAGCGGGGCTCGAACCCAGTTCTACCGCACAATTCGGGAGTTCTATCGCATAGTCGGATGTTCTATCGCATGTCGGGAGTTCTACCGACTAAGCTACGGAGACCTACGGATGTTTCTGTGTCCTATTTCATTTCAGAACCTCAACACGAAAGCAAATCATTTATAACTGTTATGAATTGCAGCTATATTACGTATAACATTTCGATTATAAATTCAGGCCTGGTTAGCCCTCTTTTCATATTATTCTTGAAAAGATGATAAATCGTTGCTCGCGATTCTTTCCAAGTTAGATCGATATTAATCATTCTTTGTAACGAATTCGCGTTTCTTTATAAACATTGTTGCCCGTAAAAGCCAAAGGAACATTTTTCTATTCAACTCTATTCTCGTCAAACAGAAATTCGACAAAAAGAACGCCGAACTTATTGAATCAGTAAAAGATAGCGGGGATTGTTCAATCTGACTGAAAAGTGGGACCCGGAAAAAGACGGAATGTACGAGGGATGGCTGTGAAATGAATGATCAGATTTTGGAATTATATCAGTGAGCATTTGCTGAAGAACTTCTGCTGGTAGAGTTCATTTCCATTCCTATCAGAATGGAAAGATAATTCGTTGTTTATATAGTTCATAGTTAGCTTCAACACATTATTGCGAGGATTGAAACTAACCATATCAACCACATCAGTTGTGATTTATATCACAAACTCTCTCTTTTATAATTGAACTTTGAAATTTGAAAGTACAAAATTGAAACTTTGAAACTTTTGTACTACCAATTTTGTTTCTAGTATCTGTTGGGTTTCCTGTTTTGTAATTAGGACCTGTCCTGCAAAACACTGTGTATGTTAATTAAATAAATAAATAAATGAATTAATGAATATCATTCTACACGCTTGTTGGGACCAAACGTAAACATTCCTTCGCTAATTACTTTTGATGCTAGGCAACCAGTAGGTGGAAATAAAATTAAGAAAATGGTTGCATCTTATACACTTGATAATAAATATACATTATGAATAATCGTTTTAAGATATACCTGAAGGCATAATTCTCATAAAAATTTTTCGATATTTGAGCAAAACCGTGCTGGCGAGGTATTCTACGGGTTTATTGTGACCCATTCTGAGCAATTCATTTCCCGCTACCGATACGGCAAAATGCCGATTCAATTAGACGCTGTCCAAATGATAACTCGCTACGATGTGACAAACGGGTCTGCGGACGCAATACCGTCGCCTGATGCGGATTGGTTAATGATGCGAACCGTGGAAACCCTCCAGGTGGGCGAACTCGATATTGTTTACTCTCGTAAGGGGAATTTATTGCTCAAGATGGGAAATGAATAGTTTATCATTCGAAATTGAATTTATTGTAACAAAGAATTGAGCGGTATCTGTGTTGTGTATTTATCGAACGAGAAGATGAATAAGTAAAAGGTGGCCTACGTAGAATAACGACGAACCGATTCAATTTACATACCGATACCTGATATTGTAGAATAACAGAACTACGTACGAGGGTAGAATGATAGATATCGTACTAAACTTCATATACTATATCTACTCGAATTTGGAGAAAAATGATATTTCCAAAGTAGATGTTTTTCTCAAATCTTATCAACATATTAACCATGCGTTCAATTTCAATGTTCAATCAGGTTGAAACTCTGTAATTAGTCTTGTTAATAATTAAAGAAATGAGGAAAATAATAAAAATTAAAAATATATCGCTAGCGTAAATTCTATTGGAAATCAAGAATAAATGTCATTTTCCAGTATTCATTACAGAAGTTAAACTAAGGAAATAACATTATGTTTTATAAGAGCTTAGGGGCACCTCTATTCTTCTTCAATGTACCTACATAGGAAACTTTCTGCTGTCTCAATTCATTGATGAGTAAAAAATCAGAGAACCAATTATCTGCATCAATATTACGACCAGTTCCAAACACAGGTCCTGCCATTCTCTAAACAATATCACTCGGCTTTTTGCCTAACTGGTATGGACCATTTGGATGCTTTCGTAGGTAAGTTTCCAAATATAGGGTGTAAATCATTCTCGAATCTACGAGATCAAAAATCTTCATGCCATAATTGTTCGGCTTCGATGTGGTATATTGACGAAAGGAGCATCGTCTCTGAACGGCAGCATTTCGTCGATTGTGACATTTTCTCCAGAAATGTAGCATTACTGGCAGTTTTTGACAAAAATTTCAAGAACATCACGAACAAAAAAAAGCACATCACATAGCAAAAAGTTATGAATGCTTATTGGTTTTGAAACGTGCACGGGCGCGGTGAGCCTCGGAGATCAGATGGTGAATAACTAGTCTTCTAGATGACCGACAAGGTACTGACTCAGGGACTAAAATCACCTGGAAAAATTAGATGACTGAGACGGACGCTCCTTACTTATCTAAAGTACTGAAAAACATGAAAAATACCGAAGCGTGAGCCTGTCAGATCAGAGGCGCCCTACGCAGTGTTAAACATTTAATAACATAAATGACACGGAGGTTTCGCTTATCTCTTGGTGAAATATTATGTTGAAAACAATAAATTAAAATTAAAACACTCGACTTAAGTTTCACTGAATATAATAAAAACTCAACATATGTTTCGGGTGGTTAACCCATTATCAAGAGTATACAATATTACTGAGTGTATTGTATACTCTTACTGAGTAATTACTGAGTAATATAGTATACTCTTGATAATGCGTTAACCACCCGAAACATATGTAGAGTTTTTAATATATTCAGTGGAACTTAAGTCAAGTTTGTTAATTTCAATTTATTGTATTCAATAACATATTTGGCATATTAAATATTAGGCATATTAACAAATTTAACATATTAAATACGCTATTATGTCATGTGGTTCATCCGCCGGTATGGCTAGAATTATTCTTTTACAAAGAAAGGCTATGAGGATTGTTGATCGATTGGAATATAGAGATTGCTGTTAATCTTCATTTAGAAAACTGTAAATTTTAACTTTGCCTGGTTCATTTATTTTTGAATGTTTAATGTATAAATTTAAAGCATTCAAACTTTTTTCCGATATATACTCACATAATACGAGAAATGGAGCTAATATTCCTTAGGCTCGGGAGATCGAGAAGTGCTCATAATTTTAAATACAAAAACAAGAATAAAATTTCAAACAAAAATTTTAAGACAAAATAGAAATTTCTCTTGAAAATAATATTGTATATGATTTAAAAGATTTTACCTTTCAGAGTTTTAATAGCAATAAGTAAGTATAGCAAAAACTCACAGTTGACTCTTTACTTTGAGGGGAGGAACTTGTTCACTTCTGCTCAGTTTGGTTTCAGAAAGGGAAGGAGCACACAGGGAGCAGTGCCTAGTTTTGTTGAACACACTCTGAAGTCTTTTGAGGAGGAAAGGATATATACAATATTCTTGGATTTGACAAATGCCTTCGAATGTTCGTCACATGAGATCTTACTCGGAAAACCTAAATATAGGTGTTCCACAAGGATCCGTGTTGGGTCGGTTTCTATTTTTGATTTTCTTTAATGATTTGCCAAGTTTTCTGGTTAGATTCCGGGCCATTTTATTTGCTGATGACACCGCAGTTTTCGCAGTGTCGAATGAGTAGAATGTTGTACTGATCGACGGTAACGAAGCAAGATTGATGGCCTCAAATTGGTTTACCTCGAACAGATTAGTTGCCAATGATTAAAAGACGGTTGAGATGATTTTCACCTTGCAGAGAACTGCTGATTATTGTCTAAGTGATTCTTCAATGTTTTTGGGGGTAGTGTTGGATAAGAGTCTCCGATGGGATGCATATACGGATTCGTTGGCTTCTAAGATGTGTTGGAAAATTTTTCTGCTGGTGTCTTTGGCTGATTCATTCTCACCTTAGATATTGTGGGCGGCATATTTTGCACTGGTGGAGTCCTTGATTCGCTATGCAATTTCAGCCTGGGGTAACTGTGCTTTTCATGTTAGAATTTCTGGAATCATAGAAGAGCCATACGTATATTGGAAGGTTTTAGTTAAAGAGAAGATTGCAGGGCAGCATTTATTGAACTCGAAATTTTAACATTCTCAAGTATATATATATATATATATATATATATATATATATATATATATATATATATATATATATATATATATATATATATATATATATATATATATATATATATATATATATATATATATATATATATATATATATATATATATATATATATATATATATATATATATATATATATATATATATATATATATATATATATATATATATATATATATATATATATATATATATATATTCTTGAAGCCTCAAAATTTGCACATGTAAATCGACTCTCATACGTCGAGACTGGCAATACTCATGGATACCCATCAGACATGGTAGTCATATGAGGACGGACATGTGCAGGTTAAGTTTCACACAAAACGGGCCATTTAACATGTCGAAAAATTATTTAATAAGCTTCCTCTATCTGTTAGAAATTTGGAGATGCCTGCTTTTCTTGAAAATGTTGAGACCTTTCAGACCAATCACCATTTTATGATGTCAAAGAATTTTTAGAGTATAAGTTTTGAGACTGATGTCATTTTCCTACGTTTATAATTGATAATTTCAAGTATGACGAAGTTTTTTTTATTTATTTTTGAATGTTTCATACCATTTTGTGTCGACGAGTGCAAACAGAGTGAAAATTTTTTGTATAGCATGAAATAAATATTATTATTATTATTATTATTGATTTTTCTCTTTTAGACATACTTCTCTCTATCTTCATTCGGAAACAAACAACATCATATAAGATCACTACTCGGTATAATATTACGGAAGACTGAAATGAGTAATGCATTGTTGAGCACAAGGAAATCTTGATTAAAAAATTATTTAACATTTTTATTTCTTTTTCAACGAAAGTATTCGGTGAATGTTATCAAATGTTACGTTAAGGTAATGCATTCTGAGATGTCTACCCAAAGGAATTTTTATTATGGAATAATTCGTCACCGAAAAATATCTGATAGGTTACGTACAACACAGCGGCAGCTTTCCATGATGAAGCGGCGGTGTCTGGCTTCGGAGCAGCGCCG